GCATTTTGTATTCTTCATTGATTTTACCATTGGGAAATACATACAAAAGCTCACTTCGACCATTGTATATATTACAAAAAAGAGTGATAAGAATTGTGCATAAGATGGGGTATAGGGATCACACCAACGTAGCTTTCATACAGTCTAAATTGTTAAAATTTTTTGATTTAGTGGGATAAAAGACTGCAGTGTTTATGTATAAAGCCAGGAACAATTTATTACCTGGTGGAATTCAAAAACTATTTAATGAAAGGGAAGGGGGATACAGTTTAAGGGGTCAGTTAAATTTAAAAATTCATGCTATACGTACAACCAAAAAAAGATTTTGTATTTCCATAAGTGGGGTAAAACTATGGAATAATTTAAGTGTGGACATAAAAAATAGTAATAGAATTGATGAGTTTAAACATAAATATAAAGGTATGTGTCAATCAAGATATATGCAAGAACAGGTTTAACGATTAATCAGATGGAACATTGTGGGTCTGGGGTATGAATGTTAGCACTCTGTAATAATTCTTTAGTATATTACTTGTGTGGCATAGAAGATAATTATCTATGAATGTAATTATGTAGAATGTTAACACTCCTAAATAATTCTTTAGTATATTACTTGTGTGGTGTAGAGGATAATTATTTATCTAGAGATATTGCTTAGGACTTAAAAGTTGTAAGATGATGTCATGGGGTAGGACTAGATAAGTCTGACTTCTTCCTACTCCGTTCAAGCATGTACTAGGTATAAGCAAATTGATAATGGATTATTATTGTTGGATATGTATGAAATTACATGTGTTGACATATCAACTGTTTTACATGCTTGAATAAATAAATCAAATCAAAATCAAATCAAATCAAATCAAATCCAGCAAACAGGGGAAGCACCATACGCTTATCATTCTCATCATTAATTGGACCTTTATGTCAGTGTGAAGGATTTAACATGGGACTATCTAAAACCTGCCTGCAAACTGACTGCTTTGGTCTGGGAGCATCTTTTGTAGGAGCTAACAGGCCTGAGGGTGAATCTGATGTAACTTGTTACTGCCACTCCTCCGGGGATTGCTCAGTAGGCTTGGCTCAGCTCTGGCCTTGTAAAATACATCAGTAGAGTCACCAAGTGGGATAGAGCCAGAGCATGTAGTGTGACCTGACCACAAACTTCACTTGTCTCACCAGTTAGGTTGTTCCCACTGCCGAGCTACTTCCTTTTTTGATGCAGAAGTTGGTGTTTCCCTTTATTTTTACATCATAACGTGGATGGTAAGGTTCAGTTCGTGTGTGTGTGTGTGTGTGTGTGTGGGAGTGTGTGTGTGTGTTTCTTTTATAATCAGCGTGCTGTGTGTTATGGATGTTCCAGGGTACTATGAGTTCCAGTAGGCACCTCTACATACGAGAGAGGGATTGTGTGCCTGTTGTTTTTTTGTGCAACTCTGAATGGTGGTTATATTTAGACACAAATTAATAGATATGCTGCATTACCCACAGATGTGCAAATTAGCTGATGAATAACTCAGCTTTAACTTAAATGTTAAAGTAGTTTTTTATGGAAGAAACACCATTTCTCTTTTTTATAGTATCACTGTGACTTAAATATAATTCTGAAGACCTTTGGTTGCAAAAGAAGCTACTGTATGTGAATGCTACCTTGGGCTCTGGGAAAGTGTGCCAGGCATTTTTCTGATTAATCTGCAATGAAATAAAAGTTGAATTCCACTCTTCACTAGAAATTCTTAATTACTGTAAATGTCATTTCAGAAATGTGGTATCTTTCAAACTAATGCATGTATTTTTTACAATATTATCACATTTTTTTAACCAGTCAAATTGATCACAGGTCAAACATTTACAGGGAGAGAATAAAAACTATTCACCAAATATAAATATTTGAAGTAACATGCTGCCATGAGCATTTTAGATACATTTCACGTAATAAGAATCACTTTCTGCCAATTTCTTGTAAATCCTGAGTGTTTTTGAGTGTTCTTTCCCCAGTTTGGCTTTCACACAGCAGTAGTTAACGGGCAGTCTAAATGTTCCCCTAACAGTTAATCTCTTTATACAAAAGGACACTTTGTTATGGTAGCTGCTTTGCTACAAAATGCAAATCTCTTCTTAATTCTTTCTCTGTATCATTGTTTTAAACACATTCCTTACAAGTTTTATTTGCACCTGAAACTTTGTTGGACCCTGAGCGCAAACAGCTGGTTTTGGATTTTTTGTATTTACCTCAAAGCAAGTCATGTACAAAGGCAGAGAATTGTTTTGAATGTGGCCAAGGAAACAAGTGACTAAAAAGTGTTGCTTTGCCTCCTCCTCCTTCTCCTGCACCCCCCCTTTTTTTTGTCACATGTTCTTTTCACAGCATAGAAAAGTTTCTGGATTAGGGCAGAATTAACACAAAGCAGCGACGCCACTCAAGCTACACTCGTGAAACAACACAGAAGAGGCAAGAGGGGGGACTGAGACAGAGAGGGCGACGCGGCGGGGTGAAGATACTCGAGCAAACCTCAGCCACCTCAGACAAACTTCCAACTCTGATAGCAAGAGGCGGACCGGCCCATTCGAGAGACAGGGAGAGAGAGAGAGCGAGAGAGAAGCAGCAGAGAGGCAGGGGATCTTTGCTGACAAGGACCTGAAGGATGGAAGAGAAACAGTTTGCTGGGATCCTGGTGAGTCACTTTTGTTCAGTGAACACATACATATGGGCACTTTTAAAAACAGTAACACAAATATACAAGGCAACAAACATTCGGAGATGTCATGCATTGATGC